TTCTTGTACCTCATCTGCTGGCATTTCATATATTCCGAGACCGTTTTCAACAATTTCCCTATCTACGTCATCCGCATTCATAAGCTTTTGTTCTTTCGTTCCGTCTCTATTTTTTACGCGTTTCATGACGAAAGTTGAATTGTCATTTAGCTCTGACATCAAATATCTCGGAGTAAATTCATCCATGTCATTTGGATGATATGCTATTAAATCATATCCCTTAGCGAGCTTGTATTTTCCAGGTTTGAGATTATATCCGTTTTGGTGCTGAGCCATAAAGCTAAATAGGTTCGGGTCAGTATTTCCATCCTTGAACTTTCCAATAGCTTCTTTATATCTGTCACTAAAGTCAACAGTATCTGGGAAACCACACTCTTCTTTAAGCATTTTTAAGAATTCTTGGTTTCCTTGTTCTCTACTTCTTTTATGTCCTTGCTCTGTTTGTGGTTGTTGTTGTGCAGGGTTTTGAACTGTTGGTTGTGCAGGGTTTTGAACTGTTGGTTGTTGTGTTGGTTGTTGTTGTTGTTGTTGTGCAGGGTTTTGAACTGTTGGTTGTTGTGTTGGTTTTGGTGCATGCCTGTGTCTGTGTCCATGTGACGATGTAAATGTTCTAGGTAGTCCTGGTGCAGGTGCTTCTCTTGGAGGGTTTGGTGGTATATAAGTTCCACCAGCTGGCACATATGTTCCATCTGCAGCATAGTGTCCTACCTGACTTTTCGTTCTTAAGAAAGCATTTACTAGGTCTGTTTTGGTCTGTTGTAACTCTTTTTCTTGACTTTTCACAACAGTTGCTCTAACGGCGTCATAGGCACTTTGAACTGCCTGTCTCGTTGCTGCATCTGTTATTTTCGTCATATTTTGTGCTACTTCTTTTAACTCTTTGTCGAAACCTTCAGACTTCAGTTTCTTTCCAGATGAGAAGTCGTTCACTAGTTTCACCTTACTATGAAGAGCTTCGAAGGCGTTCTTAAAGTCAGCATTCGTTAAAGCTTCATTTGAACTGTCTTCATCCGCTTGTATTTTTGTCCTTATTGACCCTATAAGCTGGGCTGCTTTGGCGTTGGCTTGGGCATCTAACCAGTCATTGTTAGCTTTTATATATTCTGCGCTTTTCATTGCCTTTTGCATAGCCGCGTCGTTATTTTTACTTTCTTGTGCTAAGTTTTCATACTGTACGGTTTGGTTTTGCAACTGTAAAAGTTTTTCTGCCTTTACATTTGCTTCAACTTCTTTTTTATACTCATCGCTATCCATATATGTCTTCAGGGCTTTTTGTTTTATCTCTTCATCTTTCAGTATTTTATATTGAGTAGTATGGTTTTTCAAATTTATGACATCTTGTTCCATTTTTGCTACTTCTGTTGCTTTTTCTGACACTTTTTTCGCATATTCCTCTGTACTTAGTTCTTTCAGTTGTTCTTCTTTCTTCTTTTTCTCTACGTTTAACTCATTGAGTTTCTTTGTGTGTCTGTCATATTCTAGTTTCTTTTCGTTTTCACTTATTTGTTTCTGTATGTCTATGTTTGACTTTTTGACATCTGTTATTTGATTTTTGAGTGAACTCAAATTCATTTGACTTTGAGGGTTATAAGCTGTTCCGTCTGCAGCTCCACCATAGCCTGCCATTTTCGCTAAAAGTGCCGCTCTTAAACCTCCACTCTGTGCACCAATAACTCGGTTTAAAAGCATAGGGTTGCTTGACATTTGTTGCAACATAGTGGGGTCATTCAGCATTTGTTGTTGCAACTGTTGTTGTGGTGTTAGTTTTACTATTGGATGTTTCAATGCTCTCTTCCTCTTACGTATATTCTTACGTAGCTTACGTGGCATTTTAAGTGAAGTTAAAAAGCGGCTTTTGACAGATGTTTTATTGTGACTTCTTCGTAAAGACTTTGTTGAGATTTCTTCGTAAATGACCCAAAAATAATGTTTATGTTAGAATGTTAGATCTAACATGTTTTCTAACACGTTTTCTAACATCGTAGAAAACATACAAAACTCATGAAATTTACACCCAAAAATAATGTTTATGTTAGAATGTTAGATCTAACACCTTTTCTAACATGTTTTCTAACCTCTTGAATTTTCATGAACTTTCTTGTCAATGTTTTGTTGAGACTTTGTAAAGTTCTTCATCGTAAAGACTTTGTAAAGTCTTTCTCATGAACTTTCTTGTCAATGTTTTGTTGAGACTTTGTAAAGTTCTTCATCGTAAAGACTTTGTAAAGTCTTTCTCATGAACTTTCTTGTCAATGTTTTGTTGAGACTTTGTAAAGTTCTTCATCGTAAAGACTTTGTAAAGTCTTTCTCATGAACTTTCTTGTCAATGTTTTGTTGAGACTTTGTAAAGTTCTTCATCGTAAAGACTTTGTAAAGTCTTTCTCATGAACTTTCTTGTCAATGTTTTGTTGAGACTTTGTAAAGTTCTTCATCGTAAAGACTTTGTAAAGTCTTTCTCATGAACTTTCTTGTCAATGTTTTGTTGAGACTTTGTAAAGTTCTTCATCGTAAAGACTTTGTAAAGAAAGTTCATGACAAATTCAAGAGGGTAGAAAGAGGTTAGAAAAGAGGTTATATCTAACCTTCTACCCTAAACATTATTTTTGTCTGATTTTACGATGAAATCATGACAAAACATTTACGAAGAAGTCTTGACAAAACATTTACGATGAAATTCATGAGTTTTCTACGATGTTAGAAAAGAGGTTATATCTAACCTTCTACCCTAAACATTATTTTTGTCTGATTTTACGATGAAATCATGACAAAACATTTACGAAGAAGTCTTGACAAAACATATACGATGAAATTCATGAGTTTTCTACGATGTTAGAAAACATGTTAGAAAAGGTGTTAGATCTAACATTCTAACATAAACATTATTTTTTGGTCATTTACGCTCATTACGAAGAAGTCATGACAAAACATTTACGATGAAATTCATGAGTTTTCTACGATGTTAGAAAAGAGGTTATATCTAACCTTCTACCCTAAACATTATTTTTGTCTGATTTTACGATGAAATCATGACAAAACATTTACGAAGAAGTCTTGACAAAACATATACGATGAAATTCATGAGTTTTCTACGATGTTAGAAAACATGTTAGAAAAGGTGTTAGATCTAACATTCTAACATAAACATTATTTTTTGGTCATTTACGCTCATTACGAAGAAGTCATGACAAAACATTTACGATGAAATTCATGAGTTTTCTACGATGTTAGAAAACATGTTAGAAAAGGTGTTAGATCTAACATTCTAACATAAACATTATTTTTTGGTCATTTACGCTCATTACGATGAAATCATGACAAAACATTTACGAAGAAGAAGTCTTGACAAAACATTTACGAAGAAGTCTTGACAAAACATTTACGAAGAAGTCTTGACAAAACATTTACGAAGAAGAAGTCTTGACAAAACATTTACGAAGAAGAAGTCTTGACAAAACATTTACGAAGAAGAAGTCTTGACAAAACATGAAAACATATATAATGTTTTCGACCAAGAAGACTAACAATTTTCCGAATAAAAACTTCATTATACTCATTCATCCTCAGGGCTAGAAGGCACGAAGTGCCTGGAAGCCCCACTTCCTTTTTTTTTTTTTTTTTTTTTTTTTAAATGCATTTCAAATATTCTTGATTGAAAGAGAATTTTTTAACCAATTTAAAAATTCATGAATTTTTCAAGTTACATATAATAAAGAGAATCATATTATCTATGATATTTAAAATTTACTACAGTTTCTATAAAATTCCATTTCTGTTTAGAAAAATTTCATTAAATAACGAAATTTCGCAAGAAAATATGAAAGTAGATAAGTCTAAGCATTACTGTACTGTTGAAAAAGGATTTGACCGAGAAATTTTGTCGTCCAATTCATGAAAATAGGAAATTTCTTTCGAAAGGTTATTAAGTTTCGGCAAATCTATGAGGAAAATAAACGGTTATCATATAAACTCTATAAATTCAAAACGAATAAATAAGTTAGCTTGTACGATAAATTTTTAGAGAGAAATTGAACATGAAAGTGATTCAGATTTCCTAATAAATGTTTAATTCATATAGCGTATATTATTACAATGCTTTAATTACAATAAGATTTTGGTTCTCTTTAGAAAAGTTGCGTGTTCTCAAAAGTGTTTATATTTTGACATGTTTGACAATTTCGAAATAATTTAAGAAATGATTATATTTTATGAATTGTTGTAGAATCCCTAAAAATTAGAATCTTAAAAAACTGACACTTGTTTCTCAAAAGTTAAAATGAATTTAAAATTGGTTACTAGTGTTGAACAATATAGCGGCAAAATTCGGAGTGTTTTGACAGTTATTGTCATCGTTAAGAGATTTTGGTATAGTTGTATATAATATCTGATGCTGGATTATAAAATCAAATTTCTGCGGCTTTTTGAGCAATCGCCTCATTTTTGTAAAATAAAAGTGACATATGATAGTGACTCAGAGGCTAATAATACTTGAAATTAAACCGTGTATATTCTAGTCTTAATTTGGATTTAATTTTTTGTTTTATTATTTTTCAATTCACTCAAAAAAATTGAAAAGATTGAGAACAACCTACAATTTAATCGTAAACTGCCCAAATTTGTTATGGTTATATTTATATGGATAATCAGTGTTATATGATTAGATCAAATATGAACAAAGTGTATTTATGTTGGGGAAGTGAGTTTACATATCATTCTAACTAATTTATTCAATTTTGAATTGAGTTGAAAAGTAGACACTCTAATTTTAATATAATGATAAATTTTAGCTGATGATTGATAATATCACTCACCGAATCATCAAACGGCCAAATAATTTGAATTCATTTAAAATTACCCAGCCGAATTTTAATCATTAAACTGTCTATAATAAAAATCCTGCATTGGTGAGCTTGGCTAATTTCATTCCTGACCATTCAATTTTAAGATATATTCAATTGTATATTTTTTGAATACTTTTTCAATAAATCTAATTAATTTCAACAATGAAACCAGAACCTCAATCACCAGACCAGCAAACCAAAGCATCTAAATCCAGGTTTTCGATATCAGAAGACACTGCACTTAAAATGCTTGTGTCTAAATATGGAACAGATAATTGGGAACTTATTTCTCAATGGATCGGAACCAAAAATGTCAGACAGTGCCATGATAGATGGTTCTATTATCTATCACCAGAAATCAATAAGAATCCTTGGACAGAAGAAGAAGACCAACGTTTGATTCAGCTGTCAAACCAGTATGGAAGGAGGTGGGTTCAGATTGCTAAGCATTTCGAAGGAAGGACGGATACACAAATTAAAAACAGAATGAAAGTCCTCCAACGTCGAATTGTGAATGAGCAAGTAATAGAGACCCCAAATCCAATCCAGAAGCAAGACATTCCTGCCGTGTTGTTTGCTAATGATCATATTATTGATGATTTGTTTAATGAAATTAATGATCAAATCATTCTCTTTTAATGAGAATATTTGAATAAATTATTTATCATGCATTTTTAAATTAAGACTTTCATTTTTCAGGAGAATTTAAATATTGGAATGATAACACCTTATATAACGGTGTATATTGCTCTTAATGAGGAAATATTGCAGTTCATTATATTAAAGGATCAAAATTTATTGGCTTCCTAATCTGATTATAAGTACAAAGCATACCACAAACAGCGAAATAATATTATACAAAGACAAACGTATTTATCTAAAATAAGACCACTTTTTTAACAAAAATGAGTTAATATATTGTAGAACATATGACAGGATTTTTAATTTCACTATAAGAATATCCCTCATTTGAAGATTGAATCTTCATTTTGATTGCCAACATAACACTATGGCATTATTTGATCAAATTTCCAAATAATGTATGAAAATTTTCATTAATAAGCTATAGATTATAAATTCAAATATTATGGGCTTTGAAAATTCTTATAAAAATTGAAGAAAATCGGTAACATTACATTTATTCTTGTGTCTGAGAAGCATCCTTGCCCTTCTTTGGATTGCCAAGGAGGACCTTGTGGATGTGTGGAACAACACCTGCAGAAGCAATTGTGATGTTGGAGAGTAATTGGTTCAATTCTTCATCGTTACGAACGGCGAGCATGATGTGACGTGGGGAAATACGTGTCTTCTTGTTATCACGAGCAGCGTTACCGGCAAGTTCGAGAACTTCGACAGTAAGATACTCAAGAACAGCGGCCATGAAGACTGGAGCACCTGCACCGACACGCTCACCATAACGGCCTTCACGGAGGAATCTGTGAAGACGGCCGACAGGGAACTGAAGACCGGCACGAGATGAACGTGTCTTTGGATGCTGGCGTTCGCCATCAACGGCTGTCTTTGTTGCTGTCTTCTTAACACCTTTCTTAGCTGGCATTATGAAATAATGAGAAAAAAACGACCCCGCCAAAAATTCCAATAATTCTACTGTGGTCCAAAATGGCAAAATTGGAAAAATATAAAAATGTCATTTTAAACCCTCAATATTTTACACTATATGAAGATTTTTTTGGCGCGGAAAAAGAACATTTCATTAATTTAGAATGTCTTCCAAGAAGCCAGCCTCTAAAACACCAACTGAGAAGAAGCCAGCCGTCGAGGGTGTCGATGCTGCCAACGCTGCTAAGCAAGATAAGAAGCTCCGCCACAAGAAGCGTGCTGAAACATTCTCCTCCTACATCTTCAAGGTTCTTAAGCAGGTCCACCCAGATATCGGTATCTCCAACAAGGCTATGATGGTTATGAACTCCTTCGTTACAGATATCTTCGAACGTATCGCCCAAGAAGGTGCTCGCCTTGTCGATATGAACGAACGTAACACACTTGGTTCCCGCGAAGTTCAGACAGCTGTTCGTCTTGTTCTTCCAGGCGATCTTGCCAAGCACGCCGTTTCCGAAGGTGGCAAGGCCGTCGCTAAGTTCAACGCTGAGTAAACATTGTTATTAGTGCAGACAAAATTAATATACTCTTTTTAAACATGAATCTTAAAAAAAAAATATGAAATGAAATATAAATAAATTGATTGGATCTATAAATGTTTTTGTTACTCTAGAAAAGCAACAAATAAAAACATTCATTAGATTTAGATTGGATTTGAATTAAATTTTATGATAAAAATTGAAAAGGGCTCCCACACTAAGGGCAAATCGCAAAACCTGCTCATATTAAGTATAGAATTACTTATATGCGGGAATATAATAAATTTAAAAAAAATTAAAAAGATAATAAAGTTATGAAAAAGAGCACATCTTTTTAGTCAAATATGTGATTTATTGAGATATCAGGATAATATGTTTAAACTGACTGGTTTGCATCGTTAACAACGTCGTTAATATCAGCTGGGAGCTCAGCGATTTGTGTTGAGTAGAAATGCTCGAGATCTCTGAGCTTTCTCATCTCTCCCTCGTCGCAGATGTTGATTGCGACACCCTTACGACCGTAACGACCTGAACGACCGATACGGTGGAGGTATTTTTCGCGTGTAGTTGGAAGCTCGAAGTTGATGACGAGAGTAATCTGTTGGACATCGATACCACGAGCAAGAAGATCTGTTGAAATGAGGACACGAGAAACGTTGATACGGAAATTCTTCATAATTGTATCACGCTCGACTTGTGTGAGGTTGGAGTGGATAGCAGAAACTGTGAATTTATTAGCCTCAAGTTCAGATTTGAGGAAATCAACTGTAGCCTTTGAATTGGCGAAAATAACAGCCTTTGTGATATTAAGAGCACCATAGATATCAAGAAGAACACTTAACTTGTTTGATGTTTCGCCGACATTGACGTAGAACTGTTTAATACCTTCAAGAGTGAGTTTCTCAGCCTTGACAAGGATTTTGACTGGATTGTCGAACAAGTTGGGGATCTTGCTGATTGTGCTCCATGGGATTGTAGCAGAGAAGAGGCATGTCTGGATCTCTGGATCGAGATATTTGCAGATTTCATCAACTGTTTCTTTGAAGCCCTCGGAAAGCATTTCATCTGCTTCATCGAGAACGAACATCTGTAATTGACCAATCTGAAGGTATCCTTTTGAAATGAGATCAAGAGCACGACCTGGTGTGCAAATTGCGACCATTGGCTTTTCTTGTGCCTTTCTCTGATCTTCAGTGACACTTAAGCCACCCTTGAATACTTCGATTGTAATGTTTGGCATCTTTTCTGAAATTTGCTTGATGAAAATGTAAATCTGATCAACAAGTTCGCGTGTTGGGGCGAGAAGAAGTGCTTGTGTTTCAACAAGTGATGTATCGATACGGTTAAGAACACCAATTGAGAATGCGCCTGTCTTACCTGTACCTGATTGTGCTTGAGCAAGAACGTTTCTCTTCTGGCAGATTGGCTTGATAGCAAGTGCTTGAATATCTGATGGCTGCTTAAAACCGTATGCATAAATACCTCTGAGAAGATTCTCATCTAAATCCATTTGATCAAAATCAAGAATGCGTTCATCCCAGTTTGGTTCGAATTTTGATGTATCAATATGTCTACCTGGACGAGCGCCACGTGGCCTTCTTCCGGACATTAAAAAAGGCCAACCAAACCCTCTGAATTAATTGAGAAGTCCAAAAATTTTCATGTTGATTTATCATTAATAGGGTATTATTAATAAGACTAGAAAATTGGTGTGAAAATTTTCCCCTCATGCTGAAGTAAGTATGTATTAAGGGTGGCTTCCGACCAAATTGTCACTTTTTAGCCCAAGTGAGAAAATTTCGTAATTTATAACCAAGTTTTTTAAAATCTATATTTAATAAAGATTCTATTTTTCTTATTAAATTTCAAAAATGAGGGGGTTCGGAATCGTCCACAAATTGCCGAAAGGGTTTTTGCCAGTTTTGAATCCGCTTATTTTTATCGACCAAAATTATAATAAATATAATTTTCGATAAGTATTCTATCCAAATGATTCTTCAAAAAATTATTTTTCGGATTTTATTCCGTAAAAAAACGTTACAGAAAACGCCTAGAAAATTTCGAATTTTCCCTAAAAAAATTCAGTGCAGGTCGATTTAAGAGATTTTTCAAAAATAATTAGGGTTGTTAGATTCCCGACGATAGGTGTCTTGGAAGATTTGCCTGGTGTCATCATAGTGTCTTTAAATCAAAAATTTTATTTTGGAGTTAGTTTTATTGATTTTTCAAAAAAAACATTTCTAAAACAAGAAAATAAAACGATAAAATATTTATATTTTATGTAAGGATCTTATATATTTAAAATAAATATCATTTTATTTTTTTCATTGGTGTCTGTCAAACCATAATACACTATTCAAAAATTCAATGTGTCTTGCGGTTTCAAAAGACACCTTCAAATTGAACGATAGCACAGACACTATTGAATTTTACCCATTTTATTTAGTTTTTACCCTTTTTATTTTTAAGAATTAATGACTGAAACAACCGTTTTGCTATGACCTCAATCACTTTTATTTATTATTTTAAATATTATTTAATTTTATTATTTGAATAGGCCAACTTATATTTGAGAAGCTCAATTTGAGACCACTTAATACATTGAAATATCATAAATATTGAAATATTAAAAAGTGTATTTCAAAATATTGAAATTATAAAAATTTATAATACTGAAATTGAGACAAATTAATAAATTCAATGTGTTTTTTTTTTGAAATAACTCTCAAATATTATTTTTTTGTTTATTTAATGATGAATAAATATGATTGCTTTAGTCAATCATAAAAACTAATTTAAGTTTAAAATAATGAAAGGATAATTTGATCGTTTTTTAAAATACAATTATTTTTGATGATTTGCAAGAATCTTTGAAAAGAATATAATATAGTTTCTATTTTTGTAAAATTTATCCAAATCATGTATTACATAAATTACCATTAAAACGATGAAAGAACCAAAAAGTGTGTTTTGTGTTTTGTTGTTGCGTGTTGGATGCGGGATCCTGTTATTTCCGAAATCGACAAAAAATTTGGAAATTTAATTTCCGAAATCAAAATTCTATTAATGTTTTTAATATTCTTATATCAAAAGGATTAAAATTCATTAAGAGAAAAACAATTCTTCTTCTTCAATCTATTGGCGCATTTATTTCTACACGCCAATAAGGAAGGGAAAATTATAAGACACCATGGTGTCTTCAAAACGCTAATTTTTGATATTTTTAACAACCCTAAAAATAATCATATCAGTAGATAGGGTATAATATAGAGGAGCTTTATGAATAACTCAAAATCCGGGAAACTCAATATTCAACGAGAAAAACGCTTAACGAATCTCACTTTTGGTGTAAACATCACAAAAAATTGAGAGAGATTTCTGGTCGGAAGCCTCCCTTAAATCTGCTCTCAAAATTTTCTATGATCGGTCTCAATTCCGAAGATTCAGGAAAATATTCGTTTATGAAATGCCCGCGACCAAATTGTTTGGAAAATATGATGTGCAACACATTTAATGCCTCAATTATCATATATTGCGCATAAATTTGCCTGGTTTACACTAAAATTTTGATCTGTTGTATGGTACACATGTTTAATGATCCAAAATATGTACTTGTTTCTAATAATATAATATTTCCTTTGAAGATAATGGATGAACTCTGTGATTTTGATTCATTATTGAAATTTTACGCTCTTTTCACTGAGATTGAGATGTTCCACTTAGTTCGAATTGATATATTCCATTTAGTATAGTGATCTTTTGAATTAATTAGAAAATTACGCCCCAATTGATTTCACATATGATAAAAAAGAAGTAATGGCCTGTTAATGATCATTATTTTCTTCGATTCTATAATAAAATTGATGCAGTGTTGATTATCAATACTTCTTACGTCTGTTTGTATAGATTCAGTTGAGATCAATTTAAAAAGTTAATCAATTTCTTGAATTTGAATTTTGTTGCTTTAAATAATCAAAATTTATGCACTTTCTATTAATAGATTTTTAAAATTCTTCTAATATAGCATGAAGCTCTTTGATTTTTTGTTTATTTTTCAGATTTTTTTATTTTCAAATCACGTTTTTTTGTCAAATTGGTGTAAAAAAAATTTTTACTAAATGGAAATTCATGAACAACTAGAGACTGGATTGAAAAGATTGCATTTGGCTAAGAGTCGTAAGCCTGGAACTTACGTCCGTCTTACTCAGCAATTCTTAATTCAAGTTTGCGATTTGGCTCTTCCTGTTTTTAAGAATGAAAAGTTTATTCTCAAATTATCAGCACCAATACATGTTGTTGGTGATATACACGGCCAATTTTACGATTTATTGCGCATGTTTGATTTAATCGGCTTACCAACAAATGAAAAATTTTTATTTTTAGGTGATTACGTTGACAGAGGAACTCAGTCGATAGAAGTTGTAACGTTATTGTTTTTATACAAGATATTGTACCCAGATAACATTTTCTTGCTTCGCGGAAATCATGAAACAGCAGAAATTAACGAAAATCAAGGCTTTAAAGCAGAGTGTACCAGTAGGTATTCTCATCGATTATGGCTTGCTTTTAATGAAGTCTTTAAATATTTGCCAATAGGAGCAGTGATTGGCGACAAGATTTTTGCTGTTCACGGAGGTATATCGCCTGAAGTTACAGATCTTTCATTCTTTGATTCAGTTGAAAGACCAATTGCATCACCAGTTGGAGCAATTTTAGATTATATGGTTTCTGATCCAGATCCATACAAACTTAAATGGGACAAAAAACCTCGTGGAGCATCATACGTTTATGGTGCCCCACAAATTCACGAATTTTTAGATGCAAATAATTTAGAAGTACTAGTTAGAGGTCACGAGATGGTTGAAGACGGATTTGAATTCCCCTTCGAGCCTGATCGTTGTACTGTTACAGTATTCTCAGCCCCTTATGGGCAAAGCAATAAAGGCGCAGTAATGAATATTGATCAGAACTATTGCTGTACTTTTACTGAAATTCCACCACTAGAAAGACGCATTGGAAGAGGAAGAAATAGCATTCTTGATGATATTCTTGCTCCAATGACAAGTCTTTCAAAATCATTGCCAAAGAAAACCTGGTAATCCTTTATTGTTTTTGTGTATGTATCTACATGTTAATAAAGATGTTTATTTATTAAATATATTAAAAATGCAATAATCTTCAAAAATATTTTCTATAATTTCATTAGATCTAAAGAACTAACAATATGGGTCGTCATCTCCATACTAATGCTAACTCATATTACATTATTAGAGATCTTTAGCGATACTCAACATATTGTCACTTTTTGAAATACACAAAATTTCCTCAATGCATAAAAACACTCACTTTACTATTGAGAAAAAGCATTCAATTAGAATGGATTGGATTAGTGGACAAGCATCAAACTCTCGTTATTGTTATCGATGAATTGATGTAATAAAGTATCTTGCTGTTGCATTCAATCAGATTTTTTTGTATTTGTGGCTAAATTCTCTCTAAAATTTGTGTCACTTTTCAATGACTGAAAGACAGCACCAAGAACCAAAGCCAACAATCATTGGTGATAGGTTTAGAGAGTATTACAAGCGCATATATGTACCAGGAACACTCAGTGAAGAGGAATTTGAGAAAATGCTCGATGTTTATAAAACTCAACTTCCAACAGTTTTCAGAGTATCCTCAAAAGGTCCAGAAGCAGAACAAGTTCAACGTGAACTTGATGAATACGTAAAAATCTTGAAAGAAAACAACGTAGATTTCGAAACTCTCGATTATATTCCAAATGATATCGGAAAAATATATAAACTTTCACTTGATAAGAAAGCTCTCAGAAGAGACAAGAAGTTTACAGAATTCCATAAATGGCTGAAACTTCATACAAATTTGGGACACTGCCACCGCCAGGAATTTGTCTCAATGATACCACCATTCTTCCTTGATGTTCATGGCTCGATGGGTGTTTTGGATACTTGTGCTGCTCCAGGCTCAAAAACAACTCAACTCATTGAAATGCTCGATGGCGATGGATACGTCGTTGCTAACGATGCTGATGTAAAGCGCCTCCATCCTATGGTCCACCAGCTACAGCGCGTTGGTACATACCGTACTCTCGTTATCAATTTTGATGCTCAAAAATTACCAGACTTTGAAGAGAAGTTCGATAGAGTACTTTGCGATGTACCATGCACAGGTGATGGCACAATCCGTAAAAACATCAAATGCGCCGAAACTTTCAAATTAAACGGAGGAACTTCATTACACTCAACACAACGCAAGATTCTTAAGCGCGGTCTCGAACTTACAAAGGTTGGTGGATTGTGCGTTTACAGTACATGCTCAATGAACCCAATCGAAGACGAAGCAGTCGTAAATTCAGTATTACTCGAAACAGGCGACGCCGTTGAGATCGTTGACGTTTCAGATAAATTCCCTAACTTGATCAGACACAAAGGACTTACAAATTGGCCAGTTTTCGATGCCCAAATGGAAAATGAATTCCATGAGTACAAAGAACCATCAGAAGTACCTCACGAACGCATCCAATATGCTCACCCAACACATTTCCCACAGCCACAAGTCCCAGGACTCGAGCATTGCATGCATTTCTTCCCTCATGACCAAGATTCCGGAGGTTTCTTCGTCACAGTGCTCAGAAAAGTCAAAGAATTCGATCGTCTTACAGAGCAGCCATCAGAAAAGAAGCCGTTAAGAGAAGCCGCTTATATCGCGATGCAAGAAGCCGCTCCTGATGTTTTGAAGTTCATTTCCGATACATACGGTTTCAAAGAAAATTTCCCAAGCGATTGTGTCTTTGTTCGCGACGATAACAAAGTTAAAAATATTTCGTTATGCGTCAAACCTCTTGCAGATATCATCAGGAAATACGGCTCAATACCATTAAGAGTTGTTTCTCTTGGCTCCAGGATATTCACATATAAAGGATTTGGCAAGGAAAAGGAAAACAAAGCTGCATATCCTGCATTAGAAGGAATTTTAGATGTTATCAAGTACGCAACAAAGAGAGTATACAAGGTAACACCTGAAGAAATGCTTTTGTTGCTCCATTCCATTCCAAATGCTCTTGGATATTCAAGATTATCAGAAAATACAAGGAATACCTTCGAAAATTCAGGCATTGAAGGTGCAATTGTTATGATTGATGGAACTAACTATGCTTACGGTGGAATGACCTTCGAACACAGCGTTGTTCTCTATGCAAGATCTGATTTAGTTACTGTCGAAGTAGAAAAGCTTAAACAGTCATATCCAAGCCTTGTTGAATACGAAAAAGTCCTTGAAGAAAACAATAAAAAGTTCAAGGAAGAACAAAAGGCAAAACAAGCTGCAGCCAAGAAGAAAGAAGAATAAAAATATACTGTTATATTTGATTTAACTAATTAATTTGTTTTTGTCCTATAAATGTTAATAAATTTAAAACATTGATCAATAATTTTGAAAATTAGTAGTTTATTTGTGAGATACATCAAAAATTTGTAATATGTAAACACTGTGTTTCAGATTTATTCTATTGTTTTTTCAGTATTTGAATGGTTTCTTGGGGATGCGAACTCCTCAATTGGATTCCACCCGGAATTTCTGGTGCAAACATGCATGCTATCACTTCAAATACCAAATACTTTGGATACAGCTCTTTTTACTCTGTTTTCATCTTCCGAATTAATAATTTTTCATTACAATATACTTATTCTACGAATAAGAAGACTATTATTTCTATGGAGCTTAATCCCATTAAGAAATCAATCATTGCTATATCGTTTAACAACAATGTTACTGCAATTTATGACATTATTGATAACAAAAAATTAGCAAAATTCAGAACATCAAGTAAAGTTATATCCATGACATGGATTAAGCGCGGAGTCTACTTAGCACTATACACAAAAGAGAATTACGCAGTTCATATCATTTCCCCACTCAGTGATCCAGAGCCACATTATCTTACAACAGTTCCATTTGAATGTCATTTTTTAAAATCCATCATTGGAGATACAATTGTTTTTATTTTTGCAAATTCAAACGGTAATGCACAGTTTTACCGTGTTACTGACGATGAATTCATTGATACTACGATAGACTACGGTAAGGAAATTGTCTCTGTATCAGTAGATCACAAAAATGTCAATCACGTCTTGATTGTTTTTCGAGATGGAACGAAAAAGATATACGACGTCAGCGAAGATATCAATGAAATCAGTGCTATCACTGGTGGCGACTGGAATTTGAGCACTGGATGCTGGGTAAATCTTCCGGCAGGACATTTCATCACTGGTGACCAAGAATCAGGTATTATCAGGCTGTGGTCACCAGCAAATAGTTCTCCAATTGAATCTTTTAATGTTTATACTTATGGATTCAGATTAATACAGAAAATTAAGAAAAATTTCTTTTTATGCGTCTTCAATGACAACAGAATAGCAGTTTGCAACATGAGAACACATGAATTAGACTGGAGTATTGCATCGAGCCACAGCAATACCATCTTTTGCTCAAAATTTGACCCAAATCAAAATAATATTTTATATTCTGCGGGTGCAGATGGAATTTTCGTGATCCATGATATTGACAAGCATGAAAATATCGTAGCTATCAGATTGAAAGATATCCAATACGATGGGAAAAATTCAATTATGTGCATGGACATTTGTAAAAGCGGAGTTTACGCAATATTAGGTTTGAGGAGTGGCTACATAGTCCTAATAAACCTAAGAACATACTCCATCAAGACACAATACAAAATTTCTGACAATGCAATTTTAGATTTATCAATAAATCCATCGGATGAGGCCGATTTACTTCTATGGACCGATGGACCACAGATACTACGTGTTGATAGAGATACAGGTGCTATAACACAATCATACATCTCTCCACATGATTCACATTGTGCTTTCTTTTCAAAATTCACTCCAAATTTGTTTGCAACAGCTTGTGACGGCGGATACGTCGATATCTACAGAGAAGACAAAGTAACGACCTTCAAATGGGGAGATAATCCTTATCTGCACTTGTGTTGGAGTCTACACGATGACAAAACATTGATTGTTGCAACAGAAGACGGATTAATATTTAAAACTGATGTTTCAACAGAAGATGGATATTTTACTTGCATAGGAACACACAGATGCAAAGTAAGAGCTATGGCCTTCCATCCAATATTCGATAACATTGTTGTGACTGGCGGTTACGACGGTTTTATTCAATTTTATGACATTGAAAAAAGAATTATTTTATTGAGATTTTTTGCGCATGTTAATTATATTTACAGTGTTGAGTTCTGTCCTACGAATCCATTTTCTATAATAACAAGTGGAAGAGACTCAACAGTAAGATTTTGGTCTTTGGAAGTAATTTTTTACAATCAAATTATTGATTTTGTTTTGTCAAACAAAAACTTGTATTTAAGACCAATTTGCGGATATTTCAAGCTGATGAAACTAGTCAACAGCATGAAGAACCAGAAACAGGACTTCGTGAATGGAGACATTGTCCACATCAAAGACAAAATTGAAGTTGAAAATGAAATTAAAAGAAAATCGAAAGCGAGAAAATCAAAAGAAAAACTTTTGAAATTGGCAGAAAAATCACTTTTAATGGGTGATAACAAGAAATACTGCCAGATTCTCTTCGATCTGGGAGAATATGATAAATGCCTGGCAACTGCTCCTTCGGTTTCTTTCGAATATTGGCAAGAAATGACAAATAAAGTGTCAGAAATTGTCAAAAATCCAACAGAAAAAGCCATTTACAAAATGTATTATGGTGACATGAAAAGTGCTGCAGAAATATATGCAGCCAATGATGATTTCACATCTTCATTTCTTTGCATTTCGACGGCAACTCTCCAGAAGAATTCTCCAACAGTGATTTCTTCTCAGAAAAATGAAAGTGAAGTTGAAAGTCAGCCATATTTGTTGGATTTGAGTGATATGAAGCAAATTGATGAGAAGACATACTTGTTGGCAAGTCAAGCTGCAAAGGAAGCTCTACAAAAAGGTGAAATTTATATGGCTGCATCATATTTTCTTTCCATAGGAGATTATTATCAGGCTTTGTCAATTTTAACTCGTTGCGGAGAACTTTTTTGCGCTGTTACAATTGATAGAAGTCTGCATTTGCATGATAACAAACTCAGAGAAAGATTTGCTCGTCTGGTTTTGTCAAACGTCAAAACGAAAGCTGCTTTCGATGGATTGACGCAAGAAAGCAAATGGAAAGTTATGTCAAGTTTGTATTTCAAAAGTGACGAAATCCGTGAAAAGTTTTTGGCGGAAACAGAGGTAAAAATGCCAACTAATGAGCCAAACCCTGATAATCCTGTTGAGAAGAGTTTTTACTACTTATACCAGTTCAGATACGGAGATGCTGTTATTTTATCTGTGAATGAACTTCAAAAACAATTCACTCAAAAAGAATTTGATTACGATTACTGTGGTAAATTTGTTGAGATTTTGGAGCTATTTCCTATCGCAAATATAGGAATTGCGTTGTCTGCTGCTGCAAGAGGAGTAGCATTGTATTACCACGCGTACAAAGCTGCTTGGAAAGGCTATGTTTGGTGTTTCGAACATATTTTCGCTGAGATTGAAACATTGTCAGCAAATGTTGATTGGTTTCACGTTTTGGTTGAGAACCTACAGGTTTTAAGAGATTTCGTTAACAAGAAACCGCAATGCACAATTAATTATTGTGGTAGATTCACTCCAAATCCAAATGTTAACAGAAATCACGAAAAAATCTCTTATGGAGCGAATTTGGAAACAAAAGAAGGATTAGTTGTTTCTCATTTGAATGCACTACAATGGAAAGACTTAACATCTTTCCCTGTGCAATTCGACTATGTTAGATTGTTTTAAATTAATTTATTATTTATTTTTGTTTGTTTATATACTAAATAAATTTATCTAATTAAGTGATATTTCTTTGGAAATAGGTGTTCACTATGTTAATTTGAGAACTTTGGAATTCATCATTCCAAAATTATTTTTGAAATTGAAAAGGATTAGAAACGCTCAGAAGTACAAAAGTTTTTGCACCTTCGATTTGAATATATGTATAATTAGGGAAAAAATTAGAATTGGATTTCAAAATAAAAAAAAACAAAATTTGTAGTAGACGAGAAGCACAAAATTTAGAATTGGAGTGGCTTGAAGAACCATGCCATCTTGTTGTTAAGATACTTCTGGCGGAGAACGGAAGCGTATTCTGTAAGGAGAGCCTTCTTAGCTGGGGCATCCTTAAGAGCAGCAACAACCTTCTCTACAGAGATCTTCTTGAAGAAGTCCTCATCCTTGACGTTGTGGCGTGTAAGCATAACGTGGTTGAAGTTAACAGCCTTAACGAAGAGCTTAACTTGTGTCTTCTTGACAAGAACTTCTGTTGGCATATCCTTTGTAACCTTCTTTGGATACTTCTCGATACCCATGACGATGGCATAAGGGAACTTGCGATCTTCTGTGCCTTCTGGATAAGCAGCAAGGACGACAGCCTTCTTGCCGGCATGGCGACCCTGGAGCATAACAACGAAGCGGCCTGCTTGGAGAAGAGACATTCGAAAAAGGATAATCGAAGCCGATTATTTTCCTCTCAATATTATTTCCAAAACTAAAACTTATAAAAAACATCAGATAGAAATGAGATTTTTAGCAAATAACTTTGAGGCTTCGTGGCTCCATGGAAATGGTTAGTTCTTTAACAGGCTTATCGATTTCACCATCACGATGAATCGGCAATTCAACATCTGAGCTTATTTGCAATTTCTTGCAGCGAAATGTTGTTACTTCTTTAAGAAAAGTATGTCTTCCAGAAAATGCAAGTGGAAGAACACAAATCAACTTAGGGATGTTAATTCCATCAACAATGCAAACATCAAACATATCATCAAAAGGATCTGCAGTTGGAGCAAGTCTTAAGCCTCCTCCTTCGCAAATGTTATTCATAATTGCACAGAAGAAACACTTATCAACTGTTATTGACTTTTCATCATCAATTGTTGCAGTGAGTTTCAATGGTTTGAAAGTGAAGATTTGTTGAATGCAAACTATTGCATATGTTAGAAATCCAAGATGAAATTTATTGAAAAATGCCTTTAAAGGAGAAGAATTAGCTTTTGCACATATGTATGCATCAAGTCCAATTCCACAACTGTTTGCAAATTTGTATGTTCCATTCGAGCATCTCATTCTTCCGATACTCATATCTTTGATATTCTTGGAATAAAGAATATTTTCAAGGGCTTTCTTGGTTTTAACAGGCAAATTGAGTCCTCTTGCAAAATCATTTGCAGAACCGGTTGGAATATATCCAAATCTTACTTTTTCAAAATTATTGATACCATTAATGACTTCATTAACAGTTCCATCGCCACCAACAGCAACAATTGTTTTATTACCTGGTTCTTCGCATACCTTTGATGCAATTTTAATTGCATGGTATGGATAATTCGTAAAAAAGACCTTGTAATTGATACGAAGTCTCTTGAGTTCTTTTTCTACAGACTTCCAAACAACTCTTCCATGATTTGAGCGTGATGATGGGTTGACAATAAAGAAATACATTACGATTACGCGAAAACAAATAAAAATTCAAGGTGACAAAAATTTTCAATAGCATTTCAACTTTTTCTAAGAAGTCAAAACCTTGAAAGAGGAATAGTATAGCAACCATTAAGTGATTTGTGCACAGAATTAAATTGTGAAGTATTGAAAAATGAATCTTATCGTATTTAAATTTTTCTGATTACAATTATTAATCGTATCTACTTCGATCTTCACTCAAATTTCAAGAACTACGAGCTATGAAGAGTTCATGATACTTGCATGCTAATGATTGAAATCGAGAAGCGGACAAGCTCTCTAATTGCATCGAGAGGAGAAAAATTGAAAAAAGAAAAAAAAATAAACAAATGAGAAAAAAAGAGCCAGTGGCGGGACTCGAACCCGCAACCCCAAGATTAAGAGTCTTATGCTCTATCCGGTTGAGCTACACAGGCTTTACATTTCCTTGAAATTAATTCTACTACAACATGAAAAATGAAGAGCAATCTCTCAAAATTTGAAATGCTTTCAAAAAATTAACTTATTGAATAGTTTACACGCAGAATTTATCTTCGTGATTTTGATTAACATCCTTGTCTACATGATATAATATTTTTATTCAAAAGTGTCAACGATACCACGAAATTTTATATTTTTTATGAGTCTCTCGGATAAATCCAAATCATTATTAGATATACTTGATGATTTGGATGATTCAGATGATATGCAAGTTAATAATCAGTTCAACGTTCATCAAATTGCTCAATCTCAAGACAGTAGACCTCATACTCCAAGAGGAATGAGGTTCCGTGATGATTCCATTAGGGAAGCAATATTTCAACAGGGGAAAAACAGCGATGGGCTATCACCTCCTAGTGAGAGGTCAACAGATTGGTCTCAATCATTTAACGGATCTCCAAGAGCTAAAACTCCGCCTACAAATTCTTTAAATAAGCCAAATTGTATTAAATCATCAGCATCTCTTTCGTCATTCAAAAAACAGGATGGAAAAGTTTTGTTTACTGCAGAGCTATCTCCTGAGCAGAAAAGAATACATCAGCTTGAATTCCAAATTTCCAATTATGAACGCCAACTTCTTGAAGAAAGTCAAATTCGCGAGTTATTACTAAAATCTATCCAGAAATTTACACAGGCTTATAATGAAAAATGTCTTAATATTAAGTCATCAACAATAGCTAACATCGATACTATGATTTCTCGTTTAAATCTCCCAAATCCAAAGTTATCCACTGCACGTTTATTATCACAAGAAATTGACGGCATCGTTGCTGAGCCTACTACTGAAATTAAATCACCAAATTCATTTATTTATTCACCAATTCCAAGCTCAAAGAGTCCCAACATAGAAATTCTTGCTAAAGGTTGTAATGATCTTGCAGATTCTCTAGCAAAAGGGTTCTATGATCAGAAAATTAAAGATTTCGCTGAATTATCCAAATCACCTTCTGAATTTTCAAGACAAATTAATTTAATTATTAAAGCGCATGAAAATGGTTTGACAGAACTCAGATCTAAACAAGAAGAATCTAAAAAGCTAGCAGAAACTATTGAACAATATGAAAATGAAAGGAGAGTGACAAAAGAAACAATGATTTTAGTCGATAACTTAACAAAGATGATGCAAGACTTTTCAATTCAATCTAGGGAAGAATATGAGGATCTTATTGAAAATATCCAATAAATGTTTATCTGTTATTTATTTTTTGTTCGATTTGTTCTCAATTTTTGAATATATTTGGATCAAGATTCGAATAATTATAGACTTTATTAGAAATGATTATACATAAAGTTGCCAAAAGTGTAAGTTCCATAAAAATCTAATAGAATATATTGGTTAAAAAGAGTCATACTTTAAATAAAATTGATATTTCGCAATCATATCAAAGGAATTCAATTTTCAAAGTATGTATTGAATTGGTTGAGAATTAAATAAAAGCGACATATCATTTATTCAAATAAATAGATAGATAGTGTACAATATTCCCTTAGCAAGCATAAAAATGGTTAAATTCATCAAAATTGTCAAGATCGTTAACAGGATCTAAAAGTAGGTCAATATTTATGATCATATCATCAATAGGAAATGAATGATCATCGTTCAACTCGTACTTATCTGTTTCTGACTCATTTTGAGTTCCTGTGTTTACAGCACTTCTTGGATATTTCTTTCTTGGTTTTTCAATTGCCATGAATCTAACATTTTCTTTTGTGGCATTACGACGTAACAATTTTCGATATTGGGCCTTAATCATGATATCTGTACGGTTTATGAAAAACTTTGAGATCATGCGCCATTTGTGTCCAAACTCTTCTACTTTGCATAGAAGAAGGTAATTCTCCTCTGGGGTAAATATGTCATTATTAAGCCCATCACGGAGATAATTTATATATCTATCTTTGCATTGTCTTTTGTTCTTGTTTGACATCATAGATGAAACAAAGCTCCAATTGACCTTTCGCATATCATTATGATAAAACTTTTCTATAACATTTTTCAACTTTTCATCTTCTTCTTTGCTAAACAAGTTATGGCGTCTAAGGTCATCATCTAAGTCATAAAACATATTTTCGGAAGATTCATCACGTGGGGATGACATCATTATGATAAATAAATGATTGTAAGGAATTGTTAGATTCTACGGATAAAATTTTAAATTAACCTCGTAAAATTCAAATTCAAAGACTTTTTTATGTGATTTATTTAGGTCAGGTAAGTGGGGCTTCCAGGCGCGTTGCGCCCTCTAGCCCCGAAGATGTTTAGTATAAATGAAGTTTTTATTCGGAAAATTGTTAGTCTTCTGGTGTGAATTCGGAGGACTCTTCTTGGATAGAGTCTTGTATTTCCTCCTCCTCTTCTTCTTCCTCCATTGCTTCTGGGAAGAAGCCTTCTTCTGGGTCGAAAACATTATATAATGTGTCGCTTTTCACAAATTATATATGTTTTCATGCTTTGTCACTTTTCTGTCACTTTTCGGGTAAAAACATTTTTATTATTATATATAAATGAATTTTACAAAACCACCGTTACCGTTTTTTGGAAATAAGAGTAGATGTAAAGATATTATATTGAGAGAACTTAAGAAACTACCGAATGGTCTAACATTTGTAGATTTGTTCGGTGGAAGTTTCTATATATCCCATTTATGTCATACAATATTCCCAGACTCAAAGATTATATGCAATGACTTCGACAACTATATGGACCGTCTCAAACATATACCAGACACAAACAATATATTGAAAGAGTTAAAAGAAAAGATACCTATAGGTAAGATGGAACGTATACCATTAGATAACAAAAATATTGTGAGAGAGGTTTTGAAAAAAGCAGAATATATAGACTGGGATAGTATATCTGCTAGACTATTATATAGTGGTTCTATAAGAGTTCATGACATTGAAACACTTATGTCAAAAGTTTTATATCTTAACTATACAAATGTTTTCAAAGAGAACATAGAAAAATATATTAAGGGTATAGAGTTTGTGAGATGTCATTGGACAGAGTTGTATGAAAAATATAAAGACAAGGAAAATGTTTTCTTTATAGTGGACCCGCCGTTCTATAACACATGGGATTTTCAATACCAAGTAGACTGGACTTTGAGAGACTCTTTAGAAACTTTAGACGTTATACATAACCATCCATGCTTTTACTTTACATCTGATAAAAGTGGTTTGGAAAGTGTCATGAAATGGCTAGAAGATATAAACGACTATGAGTTTAGATATGACAAGATAGAATATGAGAGAGGTCCTATAAACTGGAGAAAGTGTCACAATAAAGAAATTTTATTAGTAAGTAAATGTGGTTTGAAATAGGACTACTTGTTTTAGGTTTTTTCCATTGTGTCATTTATTTATTTGACGTGGCAGAAAAGTACAGAGAATATGAAGATGAACCAATGCCTGCAAATGTTCAGTATATGTACTCGTAAGAGATATTTTTATCTAATATTAAATGGACGCACAGAACTTAGCGAATGCACAGCAACCTGGACAACCAAACCCAGAGAATATTCCAAATGAAGTTAGAATACAAACTGCAATGGCAAACTATGGTCAAGTGCCAACAGATGTACAAATGCAAACTGCCATGTCAAATGACGCTGCGTTAGGTTTGCCACCATGGTATGCAAATATGAGATGGAAAGAGTTTTATACAAACCCTGAAGTGGGATATAAACAACTTTATGCAGATGACGCGAACACAGGAGTTGACCCAGAATATGTTTTCTACCAGAGGAGAAACAGAATGTATGAGCTCCAGTTAAAGAATGCTATGGAACTCAACAGGAAACGCAAAAGACTAGGCGGACATTAGATTTTTACATATAGTAAAATGGGTTTCTTCAGTAAGATAGGAAACTTCTTTCGAAATGTTGGAAGAGGTATATGGAATGGAATAAAATCTGTCGGAAGAGGAGTATGGAACGGTGTCAAAAATATTGGTAAAAGAGTAGGTCAGTTTGTTGGTATTATACCTAAAGACCCTGAACCAGAAGAACAAGCTCCTGTTATACAACAGCCTGAACCTGCACCACAGTCAAGTTGGCAACCAAATCCAACACCTCAACCGTATTAAAAAATTATATTTTTATCGTTCGATAGTAGTTGTATATGAAACTAAGTTCTAAGTAAAACGCATGGTATAATGGAATTATTCTTTTTCTTCCATCTGTAGTAAACCATACTTGAAAGTCTGAAATACTTCCACTTGGTGGTTCGTATAACTTTGTAGGTTTTTCGTAAAAGTCATTTGCCAAGCATAAGAAAGAGTTTTGGGCGCCAGAAAATGAAGCATGAACTATCACAGCATCTTGGTCGAAAACATCTTTAAATAAATATGGTTCATCTCTTGCATATCGACTGTAGATATTTGCTAAAGGAGGTTCAACTTTCTGATTTAACATTCTTTGCAAATAATACCATGACATTGCAGTGAATTCTGTATATATTTGTTCGTCTTTATTTGGATTGTCTTCGTAGATTTGAAATGACACTTGTGAATTTTGTTTGTCATATACAATTCTCACATAAGGTGTGCTATTGGTATTCGCATATTCATCAGCATATTTTGCATAACATGAATTTATTTTATCTTCTATATTTTTTAATGCAGTCTGTAGAGAAGATGAGAGGTCAACTTGTATTAGCTCAATTTCTTCCCACATTTTTCGTTGCCCTTCAGATGTATAATCTATATGAAACCTTACAATAAATGGAAAACTTTTATCTTCTACAGACACAAACTTCATTCTACGAAAGCCAATAGCTTTTGTGACGGATGGGTCTCTTAACCATCTTAATGGGTAGTCAAAACGATAGCCTTCATGCTTTACGGTATCTGTCTCAAACTTTTGACCGACATTAGTAAAAGTTCATCTAATGGTTTAGTTGTAGCAACTCTAGAATTTTCTTTTTCTATTGGAAGCATATTTTATCTATAATAAAAATGTCAAATGAAACAGCGTCTATGAGAGAAATACAACACAACCGACAACTCATTATGCAACTCTAAATAAGAACACAACAAACTTTTAAACTATTCTAAGATATCTAGTCATTGAAAGGGGGTGACTTAAAACTGACAATAAAACCCAATGACAGATGAGTTTCTATTTCAAGACAATAAGAACATAATAATCATAAAATCCCACGAAAAATATAAATGAACTTCTTTTGAAAGCAGATGTTGACAACAAAGCTGACAAAGAATATGTAGACGATGCAATAGCAAAAGAAGAAGAAAGAGCTAACAATGCTTATGCCAACAAAAGAACATACTCATCCTGAACTAGCAGACAAACATATGTTGACAATAAAATGTCAAGTGAAGTGACAAGAGGCTGAAAACGAATATTCTAAAAGACTCATATACATTATATTAACCAAATAATCTTAAGGAAAACATTAGAGACAAAAGCAGATAAGACTCATACACATTCTATATCTGATATTACAAACTTACAACTAACTTTAAACAGGAAAAGTGACGTTGGACATACACATACCATTGCAAATATTACAAACTTACAAGAAACCTTAAACAGTAAAAGTGACGTTGGACATACACATACCATTGCAAATATTACAAACTTACAAGAAACCTTAAACAGTAAAAGTGACGTTGGACATACACATTCTATATCTGAAATAACAGACTTAAACGTTAGCCTTGAAAAGAAAGCAAATAAAACATATGTCAATGAAATATACCAAAGTTTGATAGGAACAACAAAAAATATTGAAACTATTGTTGGTGACTTTTCTGTCAATGAAGAAAATAAATATTTTAGATGGCAGTTTGTACAGTCCTTAAAAAATGGTACACGGTGTAAACTCATTCCGAAAAATAACAATGAAATGTATGTAAGCTATAAAAAGAATGATGGTACACAAGTTAAAGTTCCATTAGACAACAACTGCTACTTAAACTTATATGGAGACGAACAAAAGAAATATTTAAGAGTTTATGAAATGGCAGATATGACATTGCCTGACCCAGCTCCAGCACCATATTATTATGACTATGGAGATGACGACAGAACATCACATGTAGATGAACAAAAGCTAACATTATATTTAGATTATTATAGATATAAAAGATATAATGCAATAGAAAAAACGAGAATAGTCTATTATTATACAGATGACAGAAATAAATATTATAGTCAAGATTTTACCTACCCTGAAAACATAAGATTATATTATAAAAAATATTCTGACACAAACCAGAAGAAACCTGAAATAGTTGCACTATATTTTAAGTTCAAAAGAGACAATCCTATAATATCTCATATGTTTGATTTAATGAACCCAGTAGGTTCTATTTATACATCTATGGAAGCAAGAGGTCCTCAAGTAATGTTTGGTGTTGGTGCATGGGAACAAATAGTCGACAGGTTTTTGTATTGTGCAAACTCTTCAAAGGAAACAGGTGGAAGTAAAACGATTTCAGGTGAAAATTTACCTGCACACAGTCACTACATAGATTTAAGTACATCTCAAGCAGGTTGGCATAAGCATAGATATTGGGATTGGTCAGCAATGACAAAAGGTAAAGGATATGATGTTAAAGACGAGGTTAAGTTTGCTATAAATTGTTACTGGAGTGACACTCAGGGAGAAGGAAACCATACACATTTCGTTTCAGGATATACGCAAACAACGGGACAAAGTAAAGAATATATGCCACCTTACATGACAGTTTACGCATGGTATAGAATTGCTTAGTCGTCATTTTCAACTTCTTTAGCATATTCGTCAGGAGTTGTCTTATATTTGTTAGGAACTGTCTTTGAAAGTATACCACCTTGAACTTTGACAAGTTTGAAACGAGGTCTGGCAATAGTAGTTTTATCTTCTGCTTGCATTGTGTACATTTTGCCATGTTTGCCTAAAACTTCATAATATTCTCTTGTATACTTTCTTCTATTTTTACGAACACGAATGTGAGTACCTGTCGGGTTCCCATTGTTGTCATAGTCAATAGTATTTTCATATGGGTCGCGTTTAGGTATTTCTATTTTTACTTTGTCACCTTTCTGAAGTTTGAAGCCCGGCATTCTTTCTTGTTTGTCTCTTTTGACTAAATTAT